CGCGACTACATGTACCAAGTCGAAAGATAAAGGTATAAAACTCGCGGGGATATATATATTTAATATACGCGCATCGAGGCACGTCCGATTAAAATGTAAATGTCGTTACGCTCGATTGAGACAGCCGCCGCGTATAGGTATGTATATAAAACAATATATGTCTGTATATATAAAATATCGGGCGCAATTACATTTTTTCGCGCTTGCGTAGACGCGTGCGTGTACGAGTTATTTTTATATATATATTTAAGAGAAAAAATAAAATAAAATATGTTTATTGCTCGTGGTACATTCTCGGTGCGCGAGTTCTCGTTCGAAATATTGTAACGTTAATCGTCGAACGATGTCGTTGAGCAGATTTTCAATTTATATGCGATATACAATATTACACCGGCTAATATAGTGGAATTGAGTTCAAGCCTAGGCTCAGGCCCAAGCCCAAGCCCAAGCTCTGGCTCAAGCGAAGGCAGATGCTTGCAGTATTTAGCTATGTAGCGGTCAGTCGCGGTACTTTGCGTGTGCATTGGTCAAAGTCAACTGACAAGTATCAGAGGGACTCATAACAATACATTAATTAACATATCTGTGATGGAAAGGCATAACGACTTAAGTCCATTTTTTTGAAAATCGATTTTATTATGAAAAACGTCTATATTTAGTATCTATTTTAATGTACAAGGGTCAGAATAGACGAATATAGCGTCTAGCGTTAGTTGCAGCATCGTGCATAACGACTTAAGTCCATTTCGCGAAGACTGGGGAAAGGCAAAACGACTTAAGTCCACCCTTGCGAGTTTCAAAATGCTATAGAGAGTCTAATTTAATTTGAAAATGAAAGAAAATGATATTAGAATGTTAAACATAGCTCCACACTCTTCGAATGTTGTGAATTACACTATATGATTGTTACATTTGATACGCGAGGGGCAGTTTTCTCGATTTTCAGTTTGGCCTTTTTTCGTTGCAAGATTTGAGATCTGACGGCAGTATAACGTTAAATGAGCTATCTTATCAATGTAAAATCATTAGATGAGGTTGTGCGAACAAACTGCGCGAAATAATTGATATTGAAAAAAGTGTGACCGCCAAAAGTGGACTTAAGTGCAAACCGTGGAAAGGCAAAACAACTTAAGTCCATATTTTTTGCTCCCTATCATCGCTATGATGCGCCTTTCAATTTCATAAGTACATAGTTCAAAAGCTACCTCATAGTAGCTTAAAACATCATAGGTTCAGACCTCAACTCGTCTGCGTCTAGTTAGGCTGGCACAATCAACTTAAAACGCGTTTTTCTCGAAAATACGAAAAATGGACTTAAGTCGTTATGCCTTTCCACCACAGGTCAATCTCCCTCGCTCTCGGGCTCACGACGCAGTCAATAATTTGTAGTGCTTGTACACACCCACTCAGGTACAATCGTAAACGCAAAATCGTGATCTCGCGGATGCAGGATATCGCGTGTATTCACGAGTTACACAGATTATAATATCTCGCTGCCGCTTCGTACATATCATATGCAGGACGATCGATGGCGACGCGAGCTTGTGTGCCAGGAGCAGATTCGTGCGTGTGTTGATGTGCGTACCCCGATACAAACCCACACATACACACATATACATAGACAGGCTGGTGCGTGCGGGAGCGCCGAGACGGCGCAGAGAGAGAGAGAGAGAGAGACAGAGAGAGAGAGAGAGAGACAGAGAGAAATAACAAAAGAAACCCCTGGCGAGTAGCGTGTCACGTTGCCGAGACCGTGAGTGCTGCACAGAGTACTGCACACAGAGAACCCAGGCCTAGAGCTTCGCTATACAGGGAAAGCCATTCTCCTAGCTGCTATATATACCGTAACTCCTGTGCGGCGGCGGTGGAAACACATCGAGCGCCGCCGCCGCCGCCCGAGCTGATAGTAATATACTTTCACTCGGCGAGTTCTAGCTAGCTACACGTCGGATATAATGCAACGAGATGCGGAATCGATTCGCGGCAGCCACTGCCGCGCGCGCGGCGACAACTTCCGCGTTTTACCTCCGACGAGAGTTGGACTAGCCGCGAGAGAGGTGTACGAATCGAGACTTCAGGTGCTGCACACAGTGTCCGTGTATACGCGTATGCGCTATATGCTCGATCGTTACTTTTCTTTTTCTTTCTTTCCTTCAAATTTTTTTTTCTTCTTTATAATTCATGTATTTACCGATACGATCCGATAGCGGGGAGAGTAATGACGATTATAAAGGCGCGTATAAGTTTGAGCGAATCGAGCCGATTTGTTGGCGTGTATACTATACCGATTACGAGACACGCGGATAAGTATACAAAGTGTTGAAAGCAAAAAATAATTCGTAAGATGGGATTTGAGGAAAATGCCGATCAAAAATCGATAAGAGTCAGAGCTGAGCTTGCGAGATTCATACCTCCAATACGTGAATATATGCAACGATCGATCGATCGGTATTGAAGAAAAAGCTAGTAGTTTCTTTATAATCCCTACATATATATGTATTCGAGTGTATGAGAAGCTCGAAAGCCGCGTTAGCTCGATTAATCATGCAACCAAATCCAATGCGAATATGGCAAAGAGTACTGACTCCTTTTCGTCGGCGTGCATGTCTTTTTCCAGGCGCATTGAAATAGCTCTACTTGCCTCTCGATATCGTCTATCTCTATCTACCAATCGACCCATCGACAAATGGTAAACCGGAGTCGGTCTCCCATCGTGTGAAATTATTCCTCTGGATTTTTTTTCTCTCTCTCTCCTCGTTTTCTCGAGCACAAAAATCTTCGTATTAATATACATCGTCGTTGCGTTCATTGACTCGGAGCTAGACGAGAAAAAGATGGAGAGAGATAGGGACAATGAGAGCTTGACCTGACCCCAGAAACGCGAGAGAAAAGTCAATGTACATTACGCACGTTTGCAACTCGATTGACGGACACGTCGTGTACACGCGCGTCTATCCTCCTGCACACTTATATCTGACAAGTGCGATATTCTAAAAAGGCCGATGACTTTTTTTACATGGATATATTATACTTTTATCCCAAACACGTTTAAAAGTAATGCAGCATGAATCCATCTTTGTGTACATGATCGTTGTTGTTGTTGTTGTTGTTGTTGTTGCGTAACGGGCGCACACGCTTCACCACGTTTGGGGGCTAAATGCGAGAACACGAGCTTATATAATATATCGAGGAGAGCTTTCGCGCGTAGTACCGCCATTCATTCGTTAGAGTGACAAATATTCATTCATTTCATTATTTTTTTTTTATCGATAGTAGTTGGTACTTGAACATAAAATGAGGGAAGTTGCACTCATCGGGCGTAAAAAAATAATTCGATATAATTAATTATCTCTCCGTTTTTTTGCTCATTTTATTTCTTTTGATTCTTCGATTCGATCGAGGGTAAAATTATAGCTTCGACGACGCGAGGGTTGCTTTATTGTATTGTTTTGATGCTAGCGCCCGAGCAAAGGTGGCGCGCTCAAGATCCTTTACTTGACGGGCGTCTCCCTCTCTCTCGATCGGCCAATTAATTAACATTTTAATGAAATATAACCTGTGCTGTGTGTATCGAAAAAAGATCATTGTCGATAACTTGAGAAATGCTACACCTCTAATAATATATTTTCCTTTTTTCCTGGACTTATTTTCCTCCTTGTCAAGGAGGGGAATAAGACAAAGCTGCCACGCAGAGATTCTGCGAGTTGCGTCTTCGAGCGTTAAATATGATCGAGCGTTTATAATCGTATACATACATCTTCGGATCGTTTTTATGCAACATTTTAGCGCGGGATTATACAGTGCAGGCAAAACTTTCTAATTGAGTGACAACAAAATGTTTAGCTGTTGCTGCTGTATGCCTTTTACTTGTGGGGTTACCTCTTTCTCTCTGTCGTTGTGCTTCGCTGCTGCTTTTTAACCTCGACTGCGATGATTATTTATACGTTTTGGCTTCTTTTTTTGTGCTTTGCCTGTGCGTGGGTGCGACAACAATCAAATTCGAGGAATCCTCTCGAGTTTCGGTACGGTGTTCGCGCGCGCGATCGAGCACAGGTGCATAATGTGACAAAGGAAAATATTTGTGAATGAATTCCTGGCGCGTATAACCGAAATCATACAAGGTAAACTACCCCTATTACGGAACGCATCTTATGTGCGAAGAAGCGAGGAGTCAAGTATATAATTCCCGCACGTATTCGAAACGTGTATGAAATCCTTCACACGAGGTCTTATTGAGACAAAATTGCTCTTCTGATCATGAATTAACATTGGATAAGCATTAAAAATGCAAAAAAAAAATATTATTTCCATAATATGAAACATCCCTCTCAACTCGTTGTTTATGGTAACTTAAAAATACAAATTCCCTTTTATGGAACGGATATACAATAAACGGCTATCCTAAAAAAAGGAAATAATTGATCAAAAGCACATATACCGCTTTAAACTGCAGAGGGGGCGGTCGCTTTGACAGTTCTCTGTTGCAATCGAGCTGCATCCCGAAAACGCAGCTATAATCTCGTTAATTTCAATCATTATAACGACTGTGACGATAACGAGATCACAGACAGCGGCAGCAGCAGCAGCAGTACACCGCAATTGCGAATCTGGCCCTTGTTGCAGTCAGCAGCAGCAGCGGTATAGTCTTAATACAGTTTATATACCTGTACAAAGGGGGGTGAGAACACGTGACGCGCAAACGTGCCTCGAGCGCACGTGGCACTAGGCGCGCTTTACTAGCTATGTATTGTCTTGCATTGTGTATGTATAGTATGTATAGCAAATATATATGTGCCCGAGCGAAAGCTCCCTACCCCACGATTCGAGAAGCTCGCTTTGTCTCGCTCTTTCTCTGTGTATACACGTATACAATCCTCTCTCTCTCTACCTCCTTTCCGTCTCTCTTTCTGTCAACCCTCCTCTGGTTGAGTTTGCGAGTGTGCGTAGAGTGTATTACCTCCCTGAAACGGCGGCAGAGCAGCGAGCAACGCGGCTGCCAAGAGCCTCCGTAGCGCCTGTACTCCTCAGTCCTCGCGAGCCTTGCCACGAATAGAGAGATAGAGTCCGATAACGTATACAGATAATAACAAACGATTTGTGCATTGTTCAACGGGGCAAAAAATTTCGCACGCGTACGAGAATATGTAGGAATTTAAAAGTAAATCGAAAAGTAATCGCGCGTTCGGTTAGAGAGCTTTTATCAACTAGTGAATCGTTGTAATTAAAAATATAAAGTTTCGTCAGCAAAAAGTGTCACAAGATAAAAACGTAATTAATCCCCAATGTGGAGAAATGAAAGACAAACTTTTACGGAAATGCCTATATCTTAGAGCCTATCTTAGAGCCTTTGGGATGTATCAGTTTATAATCGTTTGATTTCATTTGACGTTAATAAGCAGCAAACATTTAACGATGTTTCTGTCATTCACTATCATATCAATGGGCTCTTATTATTACTTTTCCTATTTTATTTGCACAATTTGTCGAACGATTTCCTTTTGAATTGATTTTTCGCACGCTCGTTATCATATAATATTTAAGCATTCCTTCGATTTTTTTTGATAATTTAAAATTTATTTTAATTCCCATCTCAATCATGCATGTAATCGTAAATTTTGTTAAAAATAAATTTAAAGCTCACACACGATCTCGTGGTATTCCCAAATGCTCTCTGTTTAGGCTCGTTCTAGTCTTCACAATTATCTTATCGTCATCTCGATCCATTGAAAAAAATAAAAACAACGAACTCAATAACGGTTGCGATAGAAGCATGTAAAAAACGAAAATAAAAAAACCATGCGAGAAAGCAGCAGTGTTTATAATTCCGAACTGAAAATCAACGCCAACGAGCAACGCGAAACAGTGACAAGTACTTTCCAATAAGTCAGTTGTGAATCGTGCCAAGTTTTGTTTACGCGTCTGATCAGTATATTTGAGTATATCAGTCTGAAATCGAACTCGAGTCAAGAAAGAGTATAGGATGGATAGCGAAGAAAGCGATAGCGTGTCGGTGGTGAGCGAGGATAGATTTTGGCTTCATTCTCAGCAGCAACAGCAGCAACTCCATCATCAGCATCAAAGTCATCAACATCATCAACAGCAACAACAACAACAACAACAACAACAGCAGTCGCAAGAACTGCTTCATCAGTATCAAGTACAGTGTCAACAGCAGCAACAGCAGCAACAGCAGCAGACACAGCCGCAGCAACATTACGCATGGAACGTAAACAATCATCATTATCAACAACAACAGCAGCAGCAACAAAGAGCTCAGGAAACCGCCTCGCTTCATCATCATCAACAGCAGCAACAAATGCATTATGTCTCGATGATGACGTCTATCGGCAACCATAGCGGCGGCGGCGGCTCCGCGACCAGCGCCTCGACTTACTCGCAACAATATCCGGTCCAATCGCAAAATGGTACGGCTCAGCAGGCCCCACCCCCGCAGCAGCAGCAACAACAGCAGAAACATCAGCAGCAGCAACAGGAGCATCAAATGCAACAACAGCAGTACCACCCATCGCAACGTACCACCCACTGCGCAGATCGCACGCGCAATCACTATTACGAGCAGCAGCAGAATGCAGGTATATATGATGCACGTAGACCATGTACACCCGGCGCGCGAGAGCTAGGTGGTGGTGCGCCTCTATTTCCTCCTCTTCTACGTGTCAAAGGGGTTGGAATGGGAAAACTACGGGGGAGCGCGGGGATTCGCCGGAGCTACGGCAAAAGAGGAGGGTGCGTTGTGCAGCCGAGCTCGCGGAGCTCCGTCATTGGATGACCGCGCGCGGCTCCCACGCAAAAGTGGGACGAGGAGGGTTGTCGAGGGTTGTCGAGTACTAGCTCGCAACGACTGAAAAAAGGAAAATTGTTTTTCTCTATTTCTCTGGTTGCCCACCCCCCACTGTTGGCCAAGGAGAACTGGTGAACTTTGATACGTGTATATGGCAAACGTATGACAAACGATTTTCAAAGTATACCGCGTGTTGCATGTCGGAGATTGCGCGAGAAAAAGTAAATTTTTTTCCATCATCGGCTGTGCGAAAATGAAAAGTTCCCGATATTTTTTTATAGAGCAGTGCCCGTACAATTACTTTCTCAATCGATTGATTCGCTATTTGCTTATTTTTGCCCGTTCCGATAATGTACGAAACACGCCATTCTCCAGAGATTTACGTAAAATCCATAAAACCTCGCTTTCGATCGATTCACAATAATGTAATATAAGAATAACGCAGTGCACGATCCATTATCGCACACGATCGTGCGCGCGATGACAAAATTTATATCGTATCATCCTTGGTAAAAAAAAAAAATGTCCTCGTACTACTACCCCCTTCGGAAAAATTCCCCGAAGGCGCTCTGCGCGACTGTCCGTCTTGGGACAGAGGGAAGAATAAAAATATGAAACAAAGGCAATCGCCGTAATGAAAATCCACTCGAGCGCTCTCGCCGCGCGAGACACAACACACAAGACGAATATCTTACCCTCGATGGACTCCAATTTTTTTTCCCTCTCATTTATGTATTCGCATGTAGACTGCAACGGATTCGCTCTCGTGAATTATTCATGCGCGCGGCTCTCCTATCTATCCGTGTACGAATTATACGTGCTATATATTATGACACATTTTCTTACTATATTTAAGTAACTGTTGTAACATAACGGAAGACTCCATGATTTTTAAAACGTATATTTCAACTTATGCAGCTATTATTACTTTGCCACTTGCAGATTTACGGATAAATTTAATCGCCATCTAGTGGTAGAAACTGAAAACTAACTGGCCGTATTTTGTAAACATCGCAAACACTTCGGCCTTCTATTTTACCATGCTTATTGTGCGCAGTTACTTTATATGTATAAGTTTCAACTTTTGTTTTTTTTAACATCTACTGAGTCTTCAGTTTGGCGACCAATCACTATCTGAATTGTTTTATGTAAGAGATGAATTGATAAATATAGCATTTAAATTTTTCCAAAACCGTGCTTTGACTTATACTACTAGTGGCAACGTTCGTTGCACAAAGCTGAGCGAAGTTAGGCGAACGTAACAATAAATTTTAGTTATTGAAATAGATCAATTTACTTTTTTTTTTAAATATTAAGTAATTTTTCAAATAAATTTCTCCTTATTCAGAATGATTGTATAAGAGTGTATAAATTAATTAGGCGATTACTTATAACTGCAAGAAATACTTATAAAAAATAGGTTGACATAAAATTGTACATTTCTTAAAGCAGCGATATTTTTTTATGATAATAAAGACTATTGATTCGCGGCATCGTTAGTCGTCAGTGTCGACGTAGAAATGTATAGGGAGCAAGTACGACAGATTGTTTAAAACTAAACATTTATATAAGAAAATGATTTTATACCTATCATAACAAATAATAACGACTACTACTCCACACAGATAACCCATATCATATATACTTTCCCTCGTGAAGAGGTTTCCGCACACGCTTCATTCCTGTTCGTGACATCTACTGCGATGTCGTTTCATTCCAAGATTTGTCGTGAACTTTTTTCCGCATACGTCACACTCGTGGTCTTTTGCCCCGTGAACTTGTTTTTTATGGCGAGTTAATTGAAATTTTAACCCGAACTTTTTACTGCATTCATTGCACTGGTGGTTTTTTGGTTGGTGAACTTCTATATGATGTCGACTTAAGTCATATTTTGTCGTGAACGATCTTGAGCAATTCTCTACTGTGCAAGTAAAGTTTTTTTCTTTTAAGTGAACTCTCTTAAGATGTAGATTTAAATTTGAAATTTTTTTAAATACGTGCCCACACAATCCACAAATATATTTTATTGGACCATGAACAAATCTGCGGTGGTTTCTCAATTGTTCTCGGTCTTTATACATCTTTCCGCATACATTGCATTGAAAACCTTCTTGAGGTGTCTCGTCGTGGGCTGCTGAATTACTCGTTTGTGCAGGCGGATTTTTGTCCAAGTTGTTTTTTATTTTGCTGTGATCTTTGCTCATGTGCTCTCTCAAAGTTTTTCGATTGATGAATAACAACTGGTGTTCGTCGCAACTATAAAGCCTCTGATAATGTGACAGATGCGAGGTTTGGATGTGCCAGATCAGACGGCCTTTGCTACCATATCTATGATTACGTTTGCAACGATTGCAGGTTGGGCAATCGTTGCAAACGTAATTACCGTCCATTTCATCTTGTGGTTCTTCACAATTCAATTCGGTTAAACTTCCATCGCATGATGTCCGATTGTAATCATCGTTTTCATCTTGTGATCCTTCACAATTCGGTTCAGTGCTTAAATCTTCGCTGCACCATGTCTGTTGGCAGTCCATGATATTGTCTTGTGAATAAGTGTCATTTTCATTTGGTGGTTCTTCATAATTCGGTTCAGTGCTGGAAACATCGTCATTCGATGGCTGATCGCCGTCCATGATATTGTCTTGTGGATAAGTGACGTTTTCATTTTGTGGTTCTTCACTAGTCGGTTCAGTTCTTAAACCTCTACTGCACGATAGTTGATGGCAGTCCATGCCTGAGCTTTGTATCATGATATTGTCTTGAGAATAAGTGTCATTTTCATTTTGTGGTTCTTCACTAGTCGGTTCAGTACTTGAAACATCGTCATTCGATGGCTGATGGCTGTCCATGATAATGTTTTGTATGTGACTAACATTTTCATTTTGTCCTTCTTCAAAATTCGATCCAGTACCTAAACTTACACCATCTGGTGTCTGATTGTCAATGTTATTGACCTGGGAGGGAATCCAAAGGAGCAGTATGTTTGTTTCCATTGCCAACCTGTACTCCGCGGAGACGCTGTGCAGATGATGCTCGAGAGTATCAGATGGAAACATGTCTAAGCAGTACATGCAATATGAATAAGTTTGCTGGTAGTGATCCATTAAAGCCTCGTGAGAATAAAATAAATGTACACAAAAATGACACGAATAAATTTTTTTCTCAAAAAAAAAAAAAAACAAAATTTTGTAGCGTTTACACTTTATAACACTATACCGTTTCACAATTTGTATGAGTTAATGATAACTAATAATTTGTCAGACTTTCTTGGGTAAGCCGTGGAATACGAATGTTGACATCAAAAGAAAATCTATAAATAAATAAAGTCAATGAATGGTCAAGTTTAAAATCGTATTAAAATTTATGTCGGTGCGAGAAAATATTTACTACTTGTAATCTTATCTTAAATGTATAATGAATTTACATTTTGGAACTCAAGTAATTGTAAAAATCTATCCAGTGATGCATAAAAAAGTTTCACATAACATTTAAATCTAAGAAATCGAGGTCGACAATTTCGACCTCGCATGAATACAAATTTAACGGATTTTTTTCACATCTGTTAACAAAAATTAAAAAATTATTGAAAATTTTAAAAAGTGCATGAAAATTCCATTTATAAATACATTAGGTTGCGAGGTAACACGATACGACGCGATAAAAAAAAAAATAATGACCCAGTATCAACATATAAAAAAATCCATTTTCCAAAGACGGAAAATTATCAAATTTCTAAAAATTGCATAAAAAGTGCATAAGAATGCACTTTTTGCATACAAAAAACTAATCAGTAACGCGCCCAGTCCCAAAGAATATATCCCTAAAATTTCAAAGCGTATGTATAAAAAGATTTCAAGTTATCGTATGACCGCTAACCTACGAAAATTAGGCGAACTGGCCATGATACGACTTCGCTGCGCTCAGCTTAATTATTTTTTCTTTCCTACTTGCAGACTCACAGATCAAAAGTACTCTAGTGGTAAAAACTCGAGGTATTATTGCCGTATTCAGAGCGGTTAAAAGCTGGTCTCAATTTTTTAAACTCGTCATTTTTTGTTCATTAGGCCATTATCAATCTTGAAAATTTCTACCAGAAAACATGGTAATTTTTACTACCAACATTTCAATTTGTTTTACGGTATTTTTCTCATAGTATGCGTACGAGCAGCAACTCCGAACGACTTATTTTTCACTCGCACGCCCGTCGTTTATCGTAAAAAAGCTCTCTCTCTCTCTTTCTCCGCCGCAGCTCGCTCGATCGAAAAATACATAATGCACTAGATGAAATTCAGTTCCTTCTTGTACGCGACGAGCTTCGAGCGCGTATAAATTTATATTTTTGCATAGGCAAATTCATCATATAGCTCTATACACGCGTAGTAGTATCGCATTAAGTACATGTTTTCCGTTTTAAGGAAAATAAAACTTGCGCGCGCGCTAGCCCCAGCTCCGATGCAATTTTCAGAATTAGATTCGCGTGTTTCTCTCTCTCTCTCTCTCTCGCTTGCTAACGCTTTGTCTTCTTCTCTATTTTACTACTGTGTTCAATTTCCATTCGGCTCCGTATTTTTTTTTTTTTTTTTTATAAGCCGCAATGAAAATGAAATATGTGATTCACTGAAAAATCCCACGTTCGGGTGTGCTACATTATATTATACCTTGTCGACGCGATGGTTTCGATTATATCTCGTCGAAGCGATCCGTCGCTGGAGCTGCGTGCATGTATACTCGTGTGTTTGCATTTATAGTAGCAACCAATATATACACACACAAGTACGCTACTGCATGTGGACATGCATGTGATTTGCACTGAATCAACGAAAAATATACGCGATTTACTGCAGCCAAGGTCGTCGTCGCTTGTGGCTCTATGCGTTCCGTTTCGCTGCCGAGGATAATATGCGAGGATAAGACGATAGTCCGGCGTTTTTCTCTCTCTCTCTCCGTCTATGTCACAGGAAGCGTCCGTCGCTTTGGCTCTCATCGTAGAAAATGTGTGTGTGTGTGTGTGTGTGTGTTTGTGTGTGTGTGTGTGTGTGTGTGTGTGTGTGTGACTGTGCGCGGATCTGCGTGTGCACTAAAAGCAAAATATAACGACTCTGCACTGCTGCGAAGCATTTTCGTGGAAAATTCACCTATTTTGAGCGCTTCCAACGCTGCCGCTGCCACCGAAGCTCTCTGCAAAAGCAGCTGCAGCAGGCGGTATTTTCGAGATATTTTTTTTTATTACTATTTTTTTTTAATGCTCTACATCGGTGCAATTTCGAAGCGAATTATCCTTAATTGACTCGATTTCGATTCGGAACTCGGTAATGTTTGTCGAACAAATGACTCGCGTATTGTGCTGTTTTGTGTGTGTGTGTGTGGTATACACGACTACAATATGCGATTTTTTGACGTGCAACATTTTTCGTTTTTGACAGAGAGCAAAAAGTGAGGCATGCGATAAATCATCGATATACACACACGTATACGCTTAAAACGTCATTCGCGTCTTTCTCATACCTCGAGAGGAGTGCATTTATCAACGAAATTCATAACATTAATCACGATGAAAGCTGTGCAGCTCGACGGTTCGGAGTATAGATTTGAATTTCGACGCTTTAGCAAAGTATATACTGTATCCTATACACACGTGGCATGTACCAAGAGCGCAATCGCGAGATTTCGGCCTGAAGATATCACACGTGCGTTATATGGAGATAGCGATTAGAATAATATTTCGCGCCTGGGCCGAAATTGGCTTTCATCAATTTCGACGCCGCGCGATGATCGTCACATCGCGTAGCGAATAAAGAGTTTATATCCCATACATATAGTGCTTTCATATTATCCTTCCTTTACCTTGACGCGATCTTCGAAAGCTTTTTCGAAATCCAGAAGTTATTATTACACTTTACATAGCCCTGTGCATTGCACAGGTATATATAATACAATAATTGCTACGTTTGGCCGCGAGGATTTATTCGTCTAATCGGTCGGTTATCGCCCACGGCTGCCTCGGGCTCTCGTGTATATACGCTGATCGTCAAGTGGGTCACACGTACACACACACATACATATATCCAGTATAAGAGTGCATCAGCGGATTTCTTTCGCTACAGTATCATACACTACATACATGCGCTTATATTTATAATTATTGTCCAAAGGGGCAGGCATGGAAGAAACACACAGCACAGCACAGCGCGAATAGTAGTATAGCGATTATGATGTTGATTGATATGCTAGGCAAACGAATCATTATATAGTTGCTCGATGAACGTATTAAACATCGCTTTGCGATTCGCGAGATTTTCTTCTTCTCTTTTTTAATCTCTCTCTCGCTCGGCGTAATTTTGCTTTTCATCGTTGCCAGAGTTGCTATACATGTATATTATACCTCGAACTTCCGAGTGAAGAAAGAGAATTTGTTTATCGAAAAAGATAAAAAATGGAAAGTCTGATTGGTCGTCTCGCGTATACGTATTATAAATATAAAAGGAGAAAGCAGCTCTTCCAGGTCCGATCGACGACGACGGGCCTTGCCAGCCAGCGAGTTGAGTTGAGTTGAGTGAAAGAGAGAAAGAGAGGGAGAGAGAGAGAGAGAGACAAAAGGGCCTTTAGCCGAAGAGTAGAAGTCTGTCGTCACCCACACATTGTGCATTATTGTGTGTCCCGAGTTCCACATAAGAGATTGGTTATCTCTTCATATATGTGTCTGTGTGTGTGCACAAAAGAAAACGACCGATGCGTACCTATATGTACATATTATTATATATTTATTTGAAGCCGATACAAGATGATCTTCGCTCTTCGTCTATAGGTATTGTGTGCTGGAGCAGACTTTGGCCTACGCGAAATTCTAGATTAGACCGAGTGCAGCGTACTTTATATTATGCAGAGCTCGGGCTATTTTATTAAATTTACCCATTGTTTTCCTATACACAGTCTCAATGATACGCTTGTATACACGATGATTTGCAGTTGACGTTTCTTGATTAATCCATGAATCTTACTTTTTTTTCTTTGTTCACAGGCGATCCCATGATAACGTCCTCCCTGAAGGGTGAGTAAAACATTTTTTTTTTTAAATTATTTATGTTTCTTTATCGATGATGATCACATGATGTAATCGACAAAAGATAATGAGAAAATCACACAGTGATTTTTCACGCCACGCGCGAGATCGATAATTTGAATTACTAATGCTCGCTCGCGAGCTTTGTGCTCGAGCTGCGAAAAGTGTCACAATTACTAATTGGGTAGTGTCCAGTTTGGAGTGTTCTCGTCGATGAATAATGTCTGTGCCAACTGCACGGAGCGAGTTTTCCAATCGTGCATTCGATATAATTATGAATTTTTTTTTTTTAATTATTCTCGAAAAAATCGATAATTGGTCATAGCTGCAGCGGCAGTGCGGAGGAGAGACGCATAGACACGCGGCAGGCAATATTGACAATTCCCCCTCGCTATATAACGAGGTGAAAAATGTGCCTTCGTCATCTCCTTTCAAGTGGCTATTTTTTTTTTTTTTTTTTTATGAATAATTAAAATATTGTTATTTCTTCATCTCGTGCAATTTTCATCGGCTTCTCGTCGTTGGAGTAGCGGCAGCGGATAGAGTCAGCTGCGTGTCTGTCTGTGTGCGTTGCGTATACGTACGATATAAAGTGTGTGGTTGTGTGAGCCGCAGCTCGATCACACATCCATTCTACAACGCGTATAAATCACGGCGTGTAGTACGACACGCAGCAGCAGCAGCCTAGCACCATAATACACACATACGGCAAAAGCTGCGACTGAAACATTGATTGTAAATATTAGTATCTTATATGCATTCATAAATTAAAATTAGTTGAGAGTTGCGCTCGCTCGAGCTAGCCACAACTTGTGTTTATATTCATTCTTTTTTTTCTTTTCCAACTCAAATTATTATTTTTTTTTACATTCACAAGTATGCACGCGTGCAGCAGCATAAGCATATATGTCGATCTATGTAATGATCGAAGCCACATACACACACATACATTTTACGGAAAACTACACACGGTCGGCAGCACGTATTACCATTTTTTTCTCTCTGCACATATCCTCGATCGTTAGGCGGCATTTACAACATGGACATTTATGCGTACACATAGGTGTACGATTCTGTACGCTTTATAAGAATGTCGAACGATTTTTCACGTTGAGCTACCTATATATGATGGAGATTAATCAATCGTGCAAAACTACGACAAATTGTCGAACAACGTATTAAGAATGAATTAGGGAAACTCTTAATGAAATACTAGATCGTGTTGCGTTTGCGTTCGCGTTGGGTGCGACAATTACGGAACTAAATATAATACGAGTTTCCTTTACTTACCATTTGAATTTTAAAAATAAATTAATTATAAATAAGTCACGCCTCTCCTTGGTCGAGATCGGAGGTAGAGAGTAGAATCGCAACCACGCACGTACCACATTTTTGCCACTTATATGAAAATTCCGCAATTTATTAATTAATAAATCGTATAATATTGGCAATATGTACAATATTAAAATCACTGCTATATTACCGCAGAAACGTGCCGCAGAGTAGTGTCTAACATTTTTATGTATACACGCACGCTTAGAACGACCTCCGTTGCTGATCCGTCCATTCGGATTACTCACGCTTCCTCGAGTTTTATACAGCTCTACTCAAGCGCCTATTCCATATGTATAATATTACGATCGTTTTTATTCTGCGTATGACAGATACTCGTTTTCGCCTGTACAATTTTCGTAAACTCGGCGAGGGCGCCGCTACCCGCCAAACGCATCATCCTACACTACCCCCAGACTTTTAGCCATTTACATACCTGGGAAAACAATGAGAGTCGCGTGTGTTTGCACAAGGTGGATTTTAAACGCGAGTCAAAAGCAGTATACTGCTCGGGTGTACAATGCAAATTTGTAATCGGAGCACATTATGTGTATGTGTGTGTGTGCACAAGCGTATACGGTGGCTGCCGCCGCGGCAGCGCTTGCATGTACTATGGGAAACCGCAGAGCATATATACGCATACACGAGTGGGGATTATCCTGTGAGCTAGGCTTACGCCGCCTTATCGAGCGTGACGAGGCATCGTAGCCTGAGAAGGAATTAACTCCAGCGGCGGCTTCGATCGGATCGGTATATGGACTTTTTTATTTTATATTTATTTATATTTTTTTATCTTATATTTTTCTGTTTCGAAATCGCAAGTGACAACTATAAAAATAAACGATTCGGAAGAAGGATATATAATATTTATATCAAGTCAACGATCTGTGCTCGCGTCGCGGTATGTTTGCACCATGCCGTTTAATGCATATTACACGGGTGTTGAGTTATGGACGTTGTATACACTTTGGCGTTTTGGCTGCTCGAGGTGATGTATATATATGATAAAATATACGCATGACTCTACGCACGACGACGACGAGCGTGCAAGAGAAAGAGACAGTTTGAAATTTCAAGATCGTAATTATCGCGAGCGAAAACGAGAGCAGCAGTACTAGGGTACACCAAAGAATGGCAGAGGGAGATAGAGGCTTGTATACTGTAGCAGCAACAGCATCAGCAGTAGTAGAAGCATATGTTCATCAGCTGCTAATTGCCTTTCGCGAACGAGCTACAATACGAGCATCACAATACACATACACATTTTTTAAGCTCTCGAGTGTAGGAGAGAGATAGATAGAAAGAAAGACGACGACCGTCTCGGGCAACTTTCTCAAGCCAGAAGTGCGAAGTTATTTTTTCTTCTTCTCTTCTTTCTTTCTTTTACTCGCTTCTTTTATTTTACCTTTTGCTTTCGCATACGTACGTAAACGCGATCGAGAACAGTTATAAAAATAATGTGTCCCCCATGAGCTTTAGTCGAATGGTAATTGATCACATTGTTATTAGCGCCCGCGATCGATCGTTAATAGAATAAGTCCCTATATCGCAGTAGCTTACAGTTGACCGATCGAACGTCGATTAGATTTCTCACGCGCGGGTTACTATATACCAGATATACTCGCGGGGGCAGCCTGTATATATAGCCGTAAACGTGCCCGATCGACCTTATTTTCATTTAAATATCCGCGATACAGAGCGAAATGAAATGAAAAAAAAAATCATAAATCGTCAATAGTGTGCGTTAAATACTTTGGCACGATCGTGGGACTCATACACACACACATGATGCTCAGCTTATAATGAACATTTATATACTTTTTTGTAATTTTATCATCTCGTATTGGCTGCCGCCGCTCGCGCGAAAAATAAATAGCGATGTTTATTTAGCCCCTCGTATCACTCGACGCTTCTGTGCGCTCATGATATACACACGTAACTTCAAAACACTCAGTCGAATATGAATAAATAATTCGTTTTTCAAGCGAGCTGACACTCGCACAAGCACAAACACCAACACACATGCATGCATATAGCACAGCTACACACTTTGCGCGATGGCTATATAACGATGATGTACTCGTTAATGTATAGCATTTTATTAAACGCATCGCATCGCAGCACATTATAATATAAGCAGTTCTCATATGCCTATTGGCTTGGCTCGTTTCTTTCGTTCGTTTACTTACGGAGAATTTTTAATGACTTCATAAATAAAGCTTTACGAGCCGATCGGCAATTTTCTCGCGCGCGCGAGCGAGCCAATGCGCGAGAGCTTATCAGCCGCAGAGCGCGCGGCACTCTGTTTCTCCGAGAGACCGACCAACGTCCCCCGGCTTTGATGCGAATTATTCTATGAGAAGAGAGAGAAAAAAGTGGAGAACTCGATTTACGAACTTGCGCGCGGTGCCGTTCGTGTATCGATTGTTAATTATTTATGTATTTAGTACGCCTTTTTTTCTTTTTTTTCTTTGCTACTTCGTTTTATCGTACTGGAGCTCCTCGATTTGAATAAGCGCGCGGCGCGCGTACACATCGGAGCACGTAGCGGTTCGCGCCGATCGTACCCCTGGTAGAAAAACTCGATCGAAAAATTTTCAATGATTTTTCTCGTGTAATTATGACAATTGTCAACAACGTCAACAATGTACAATTTTTGAGAGAATTTTGAATTTTCTGAAAATTCTATGGTTTCAAAAAAGTTTCATACGATAATGCTACTACAAAACTCTACCACTAGATGGCGAGTATCCCTTTATCAGGAAATCTGCAAGTGCTAAAGGCAAAATAATTGTATATAAGTTTGGTTTTAGATAAATTTTATGAAATTTATAATGAAAACTATAAAATATTATTTTACCTATTTAATTACTGAATATTGAATAGACGTTGCAATTCTAATTATTAGCCAAAAAATATTAAGAATTTCTGTCAGAGGCACATTGGAAGTGTCGTGCCGAATGGTTTGGAAGAATTGTTCATATCATATCGTCCATTTCAACTGTAAATTTACAACAAGTAAATTTTCGGGAATAAGAAGCTATGGTACTTCGATCGTGCTCGACTCGTTTGGTTACTTTTTTTCTCGATCCGATCTCTCTCTTCTTTCTCTCCGTACAGATGCACTCCAAAAACTTCGCACATTTCCTCCCACCTCCTTGTGCGCGCGATCCTCTCGATCTCGTCGCATGACTTCACGCAAAAGCTACTTACTTCAAAAATAATAATAACTCATGTCGAAAAAAAAACGCGCAGATATTTTGCGCTCATTGAGATCGATTCGAAAAAATTTCGAATCGTAATAGCCTACTTTTATTTTTTTCATTTCGAATACATATTTTAGAATTAAAATAATAATGGCGCGAAAAATCGCGCTTGACCTACATTTTGAATTCGGCGCGAGGTACCGGAATACGTATACACACAGACACATGCGAATCGCACCTCGGCGTCCTTTTTCGGAATTGAAATTGAAAGTGTGTGCTTGTGCGTGCGTGGTTGCCCCTGTTACTAAGACTCCAATTCAGCATCGGACTTTCGGATCAAAAATGTGTGTATGTGTGTAGTCGCAGCCTCCTGACGAGTGTTAAAAGATAATAATATTTGAATAATTAATCTGCATTGAAACATTTGAAAACCCCTTTAAAAATGTATAC